CCTCCGAGAGCTATGATAAGTACAATTGCTATGCTGAGCTTGACTTGCTGAGGTCTAATGGTTGTTGCCACTTTCTTGGGACTTGGAACTGGGTTTGAGTTCTGGCTCCACCAGTCACTTATTTACATGGTGTCAGGGTGAGCTACTTAAACTTTTCAGGCCCAGATTCACACATTTGAATAGGGAGGAGGCCACAATACTGGAAACAATGGTTGATGAGTAAATAGCATAGGGTCTGTAGAACTCTCAGTAAAATTTATCTGTAGGGTTATTCCCCAGGCCCCTCCTGGAGCATTTTGGACACATTCATATAGAAGTTAGCAGAAGCCACCTCACCTCCTTTAGGGAAAGAGGTGATTAGTAGTTAGTTCTGAAGCAAAGCTGTCTACTTTCAGAGCTTATGAAAGATCTCTGACTCTTGGCTCAGGGTATCTGAGGAGGATTAAAGGATTAAGGGTCAGTCCAACTTCGGCTCTTTAAGTTATGAGTTACAATGTCTACATAATTAAAGGCCTGTGAAGTTCAGGAAATTTAAAAAATTGAGACAATTTTGCATGATATATATATATATATATATATATATATATATATACTTTTAATTTCCACTCACAAATAGACCAAAAATATACATAGAAGGGATTTTCCATTCATAAACTGTTTTTAATGCCAGCAGTTTGCTTTTGTTCCATGACAGAGGGTCAAAGAGAGTGGTGATAACGTTGAACACTAGGTTGTTAAAGTTGAGGGAATATGAGGTAAAGAGGAAGGAAACAGAACAAAGATTACAAGGCTTAGGGTATAACTGGAAAATATCTGGTCACCAGGGTCAGATTCAGATAGATCTACAGACTTTCTTTCTCTGCAAAGAAATCAAAAGGCATGTACAGCTTTTATGATAGGGGAGGAGGCCTCTGCTGTCTTCTGAGATAAGTAGAATTATCACCTGGGACAATATCACCCAGAGTCTGCCAGAGGCTCATCCCATCACACTTTGAGGGGGGTTTCCTCTTTGGAAGGTGGCCTTCATCTAATGTTTCCCATATATTAAAGGTGTCCGAACTGGTACACTGTCACATTCAAGGGGATTCCTAGCAATCTTTTCAGAGTGAGAGGTGTTTGAATCATAATCTTCCTCTCTGAGGCTTTGGCTGAGTGTGTAGCCTGGAGCTCACACACATTTCCAGATAGTCCTGGGATTCACTGCCCTGAGACCAAGCAACAGCTTTCAGTTCATCTTCCACTCAGTCTTTTTAGAAGCAGATGCTCAGCTCACCTGGATCTCAGAAGGTACAGCTCTTCTCCCACAATCAGAGCTCTCAGCACAAAGAAGCATCTGCCTACTTTTCTGGGATGACAATCAGTGGGAATGACCTGACTGCTACCTCTAACTTCTTGTCTTCTCCAAGGGCTGAAATTTGAACTCTTCTGTTGCCAGGCAGAGTTGCGCTACCATGAACTGACCTTTTCTGAGCACCGCGAAAAGTGATATGTGCACAGCTACTCTGTGGAATCAATAGACACCAGTGCCAGCTGGTGGTTTCTCCACCATAGTGGCCTTTCATGGAAAGATGCCATCTAAGGTTCTGCACTTGCTAAGCCGAGCCTGACTTCAGGAGACAATGCAGTGGAGCAGAAAGAACAGCAGGGTTTAGTTAGAAAGCTGGGGTTCAAATCCAGCTCTTCTACTCACTTAGACCTCAGCTGAGTCACTTACCTTCCTTGAGCCTTAGTACTTCATTACTCCCACTGTTTGAGAATTAGATGAGACACCATTGGCAAATCCCTGTCACATATGTGACATATCAGCAGCCTTCAGTATTTGTTATCTTTGTGTGCCTGTGTTTTATCACCACAAAGGGATTGTGTATTTAGAGCCAGCTAAATATTTCTGACCTATTTTCTACTTTTCAAATGGAAGTGCTTCAGAACGGAGGGTTGTGCCTTGTACAAACTGGGTATTTTTCATAGAGGAAAGCATGGCTGGTACTCACATTGGCCAGGCATTTGCTAGGGAAGCATGGCTATACATCCACAAAAACCCAAGGAGAGGAACAGAGAGGTATTCTTAGGTTATTGTAAGCATTAGAATGGCTAGGATTAAGGAGGATATGTTTTTCTTTCTGTCATCTTGAATTCCCTTTCCAAATTCCATTCTGGTTATATGATCAGGGTACTGCTGTATTTATGGGTGGCCACAGCCTGCCTGGAGGGCATATTTGGTCTGAAAGGAAGTGTTTTCCTCCTGAAGGCAATGGGAGAAGCAGAAGCATTCAGAGTGAACACTGGAGAATTTGCCTCTGATCTGGTGATCATAGAGACCTGGGTCTGAAACCTGGTCCCTTCACTGTGTATTAAGAGCTTGGACAAGGGACTCTATCTCCCCACTCTGCAAGCCATCCCTTTCCCCCATGGGTCCAGTCCATGCCTCAGAAGTGTGCTGTGGATGTTTAGTGAGATGATCACAGGAGGTCATAGCTCAGAGAGAAGGTTCATCATATATGCTAGCTCTGGCTATCATTAAAATTATTTAAAATAATTAGCCAATTAGCCTTTGTTAAATCTGTTACCCCCACCTCCCTATTTGTGTCTACAACAGTATATGGGAATTGCTCTCCCTCCTATTACAGACTATTTAGAGGACAAATTCCTTGCTAAGTGAGCAATTTCGGCCCGAACGTGCACTGCTGGCTGTGCGAACTGTGGCTGTGCTTTGTATCGGTCAGGATGCAGAGAAGATAGCCCAGAGTGAAATATCCTTCATCCCAGGGTGAGGTTTAGAGTTTCTTACCCCATTTCAACCAAAGTAGCCTCACATTTTCTGGTCAAAAATACTAAGGTTTTGCCCCAAATTCACTGAATGATTATTTCCATTGTTAAAAATAAATTTTAAAATCAATGGTTTAGTACACTAATGTTGAACTTGTAAAGTGATAAGCAGAAAAACTAAGATAAGCTCCCATTATTGAACCCGTACTATGTGTGAGGTATTGTGCTAAGACCTGGTCATTTACTCTCTCAGCTGAGTGTCACCAGAGCCCTATGCAATGCTGATTGTCACCTTCTTTATATGAATGAGGCGGCCAAGGACTGGGAGGTTAGTAACCTCTTAGGGGAGGGACTCTTGACACATGAGATTGGGAGGCTAGGTTTTAGAACAAAGCATAGAGAATAAAATAATTGCAGTAAGCTTGGCAACACCTTTCCCCATCCTCATTCCATTTACACTGCTTGAACAAACCAGAGAATATGCACAGTGTCACCCCTTTCATTCCTTATATGTAGTAACTTTCCTGCACAGGGCCAAGGCACACTAACTTGCAACCTGCAAAGAGCGCACGTGCGTGCACACACACACACACACACACACAAACACATACACACACACATCATGCCAGCAAAACTTCCATGAGTTTCTTCTGGACTGAACCAACTTTCCCCTAGCCCCGAACCTGGCTTGTCATGTCTCAGGACAAGGTGAGAAACTGGCTGTGGTGGGCAACGGTTTTCATTTCTAAAGCACATATGGGAAAGCTCTATTAAAAAGGAGAGGGGAGGTCCACCCAAACATGAAAAAGAGGCACTCATTCTTCCAAGGGGCTCCCTATCCTACTCTCCCTCTGATTGAAAAGCATTTCCAAAGAATCTCCAGCAGCACTCTGTACTTTACGGTCAGCAGCTTTAGAATCCTCAAATGCTTAAACTCAAAACCTCGTGACATCCTGTAATCACAATTCAACATTTACATCCACCCCCAGGCTGCTACCTTCTCTCCCAACCTGTGCCAGCACAGCCTCCAGCTTGTAAAATACAGTCAAGTCTCTGACCTGCCAGCCTAGCGAGACACTCTCAGACTGGGCGGGATAACAAGGCCAGAGGCTGGGCTGGAAGGAGAGGAACACACAAGAAAGAATCCCAGATTGGCTCAGTGCCCTTTTTAACTTCCAGGGTGATGGCACGTTTTGGCAATGACTGATTATCCAAACTTTCAGTTATTGAACACTCACTAGCAATCTCCTTAAGCCTCATTTTCTCTTCATTACAATGGAAGTTTCTGTCCCCAGTTTAGAGAAGTAGAAGCCGAGGCCCCAAGAAGTTACAGATTTTTCTTGGACTATGTGTGATGTGGTGGTGGAAATACCGAAGTCATCTGTGGCTTTGAAACGTGATCTCTTAATCTTCGATTACACTGATGGGCTAGAGGAGCCCCACATTCTTCCCAAAAGACTTTCAGAGGAGGTGGGGTTCCCATAAGTGGAGGAAATCGTTCTCCGGAGTCTGATACCTGAGAGGTGATTCTGAAGAGATCCTGGTGGCTCTTAGCACCCCAAACAGGCATGGGACCTCCTTGAGGATCAGTGAATCGAGATGTATCCAGGATGCTTCTCTCGGCCTGAAGAATGGAAGGGAGCACCCAGCACTCTCACTGGACGCTCCTCTGGCCTTAAACTCACCTCCTGTCCTCTGTCCCCTAGAGCGTATCTCTTTCCACAGGGTGGACATTGTTAGAATCAGATGAGGGGATGGTACAAAACTATAAATTGTCAGGGCCCTTTTGATGTAAAATTTTGTGTTCCCTGCATAGCCCTCTACGAGTCTCTCCTCAACCCATCCCTAAATGAGAAAACTCAACTTTCAAACTAAACTTCCCCAGCATTCAAAGACAAAAAAATATCCACAGGTGAATCAGCCAGGCAGGGACTTTAGAGAAAAGTCTAAAGAAAGGCAGGGACTAAAAACTTTACAAAAAGTTCCTTCCAGTGTGACAATTCATACAGCTAGCACAAGCAGAAAGAAATAGAAGATCAAAGGAGGGCAAGCAGAGAAGGAACCGGCAAGGTGCACACACAGGATTGTGATCAACTGATAGCCCCTTGCCAGCGACGAAAATAAACCCAAAGAAAAATGAAATAATGATAAAACACAACCCATTTGGTGCCAGGAAACCCCACAGGACACAGCACATCACAATGGTCGTGATGATTGGGTCGAAATGGACTTACCTGTCCCCAGTGGGAGAGACCTAGGACCGGGCGCGCACAGGCTCCAGGCAGCGTGGACCGGCGGGGAGCAGCAGCGGGTTCCCACGTGCGCTGTCCCGGCCTCCGTGTCTCGCTGTCTTTGTGCAGCCCCAGGCAGGCGCGTGTGTCCGCGCGCGGGAGAGCGTGTGACAGTAGGCAGGCTGTGGCCAGAGCAGCCAGCTTTGGCTGGCTTATATAGCAGGCTCCTCGCTCTGTAATGGGACGCCTCGCCTCCAGACATCCTTCCCCACTTTTTCAGTTGGTGAATTAAAGGAACAGCCCTCCCAGCGGAACAGGGTTAGCTCATGCAAGACGCAGTAGCTCCAGGCTCTGGGCCAGGGAAGGAACTCATTTGCATACAATTTATGGCGAAAGTAGGAATTCCCGCTTCCTCCGCCGGCCTCCAACACAGAGTAGCTGTTAGTGAAGTGTGACTTTTGCATTGCTCCCCAAACGGAGTTTCTAATTGTGAAACAGAAGCCAGGGGGGAAGTGAGGAAGCAAGGTCCTGGCTTCGCTCCTCTACTCCAGCAGGCTGGAAAAGCGACCCGAGCTCGCCGGGGCTCTGGGGAACAGCTGCTCAGTGGCACCTCAGAGAAAGCACAGGGGCTGAGCCAGTTCCTGGAAAGAGGAGATAAAGGCTGTTAAAAGCCCTGGGTGGTTCATGTTTCTCTGGGCCAGCAGAGTGACAACTCAGGATTATTCTCAGCAGGTGGGTACCATGCTGAGAGGGCAGATCAGTCCCCCTTTCTTAAGTGGGAACCCTGGCCCGCCACCTGGAGGAATCATTATCCCGCCCCGTTTTCCTCCAGGGAGCGGCTTTGGGCTTGTGCATGCCCCATGTAAGGTGCCTTCTTCTCAGCTGCATCTCCTGGGGAAGGGTCCCTGAGCTTTCTTCTCAGTACTGAAGCAGGTCCACTGCAGCCTTTTCTTTAAGGAAAAACGATAATTTAATAAAAGTTAATAACTTAATCTAGGAGCAGGAGCTGTGCCTTTACTCTCCAGCCGGCTGTGGATTCTATCCAAGCTCTGAGTCATCTGGTGGTTTGGTGGTTAGCATGCACTGAGTGTCCCCAGGGCCTGTGTGGGCTTTGGAATAAGGGGGAAGTAGCAGCCGCCTATGCTGGAGGGACTCCTGGGCTTGTAGCACAAGGCATGAAAGAGAGCCGGAAAAGAAAGCACCAGGCAACTTGTAGCCAGCACTGAGCCAAACCTCCTTTATTAGGTCAGTGTTAAGTGCTGTACAGGTTACTTGGTGAATGATGTTTCATTATGTCCTTGCAGAGCAAAGTAGGATAAATGCAAGTGTCCTCTTTCACAGATGAAGAAACTGAAGTTCAGAGAACCAATGTAATTTCACCAAGGGAATCCACGTGGGAAGCACCTGAATCACACCTGGCTCCATCATTTTTCCTATGACATGTTACTGTCCAGGAAGAGTACAAGATGTTATTTAAATGATATTTTAAGCACTATTGAATTGCAACATCATTTGTAAAGAAATCATTCCCATATCAGAATATGGAAAATGTTTTTAGTTCTGTAGAATAATTACAAGAGGTCTTTGATTTTTTATTGACTACTAAGAATGGAAGTTTCCAAGTTGACCAGTTTTTTAAATACTAAATATAATTTGCATAGTATTCATTATTGCTAAGGGCCTCAGTCACCCCATCTGAAAAAAATCAAGACAAGTTTATGTCATCCTAATGGTAGCTCTGGCTCTGGAGTTCTAAAAATCTCTGCTCAACTGACCCTCCCAGATCCAAGAAAGCCCATAAATAGACACGTCATAAAACAGCTCATTTGAACTTTTAAACCATTTTGGCTGATTTAAAAGTTGGTTCACTTAGGAGTTTTTAATTCTGTGTTTTAACCAAAGCATATTTCAGTAGCACAAGGCTGTGTCTTTCAATTCAGAGTGAAAGCTCCCACGCCTCTTGGCTTTCCTAAATCTATAGAACTCATCTCCAGGGTTAGCAAATAAAATATTAAGAGCAGTGTGTATGTTATATGGCACACAAACCACATTTACATCAAATATCTAATCTCTCTATATACAAACAATTATGTGTATGTGTTTAAATTAGACAAGAGAGTGTGATAGAAAACTGGATGATAAATATGGCTTCTTTCAGGAATGTCACCAACCCGAACCTTACCCCAGTCCTCTTAGTGCTCTACAATCACTGATACAACCTTCAGCAAGTGGCTTAGTCAGCTGCAGGAAAACAACTCTGACCAGGCTAGTCCTCAGGGCAGGAAATGGCCTAGTGGTATTGACAACAAGACTATCTTGCACATTAATTAAACAACTATCATGGAAGCACATTATTATAACACCAGAAAGGAATGACTAGCTTTATTTGAGTATCTTTAGAAGGGGCTACTTGCAAAAGAAGGTTTCTCCAGAAGCCACATGACATCTTCAGGCACACCTTGGCATTGGAGTAAGGAGCGCTCAGACATGGACTTGTTTTCTATCCCTGGACTTTTTGTAGCCTCTGTTAAAGACAAATGGATCTGTATACAACATGTGTTCTCTAGTATCTAAGTCTTTGCTTATGCTCTGTGCTACTTCGAATTCTCACCTCTGTCTTCTCACTTCAATTTATCATTCTGTTCTGACCCAACTTCACCATGGAGCTTCTTAAATAGATTTCTGCCACAAGCAAAGTTTTCATGCACAGTTCTTAACTCTATGGATATAATTATGCATGTGCATTCTAGATTTTTCTCTGAGACTCTAGGTTTTCAGCAGTTAGGTTCACAATTATTTTTTCTATGCCTAGCACAGAGCCTTGAGCATTGTACAAGTTCAAAAAATGTTTATCAGGAAATAATGAACAAATGAAGTTTGATGTGCTGTGTTGTAGAATTTAAGGCTGCCTGTTTCACCCATATAAGCTGAGGAGGAACCTGGGTTATCATACCTAACACATTCATTGCACAGATGAGCAAATGGCCCCAGGGAGGTGGAATGACTTATCCGAGGCCCCAGTGGCTACTGCCATGCAGGTGATCATCACAGTCAGAGCTGAGCAACCAAATCCCAGCAGATCCTGGAGCCGAAGATGTTTGTGGAAGTTAGTAACCATTCATCTTCTTGTTTAGCAGATGTTGCTGCACCTTTTGGCATCTGGATCTAGCACAGTTGTATCCTTTTCAGTACTGTACGCACTTTTTTTTTCCACATGAGAGGACAGAATGAATGCTTGTAAATACAGCCTCTGCACAGAGCTCTGGGCCAGGGGCTGATTTTGTTGCTGCTTGCTTGGAGTCCTCATTCATGAGTTGCTGATGGAGATTGTGGCTTGGAGGCCAGAGAGAAAGTGGAGGTTTGTGTCAGGTGAAATCATTCTCATTTCCTAAATGTCATACATTTTTTTTTACCCAGACTGGCCAGACAACAAGTAGAATACTGGCTGGCACTATCTTTTTTGAGGAAGTCAAATGTCCACTTCCCCATGGCATTACCCCCTGCCCACTCTGATTGTGGACTCCTTCACTACTCCTACTTTTCCTCTTCTTGGGATTCATCTAGTTTGTGAACACCCATCCAAAGTCCCGTGTGACTCTATAGTTTCCAGAAATCTCTCCCAAAGCAGTGAAGTTCAGATCTAACACATGTGTCAGTCATTCAATTAGACATGTTGGCTTGGAGCCAGGATTTTTCTAATTGTCTGCAGGTCTCTGTTGAGTGCTCTTCTTTTCCAACTCTTCTCACTTTTCCATAGACACCAAAGGGCAAAATGAATTCATTAAAGGAGAGCTAGGACAGAAAGGAGCTTCCTTTCCTGATAGAATAGGGTAAGTCAGCTGTCCCATCAGCCAGGACAGTCAATTATTTGGCTAGCATGGGAGAGTAGAATATTAGCTGGGCTGAGAATGGGTTCAAGTCCTGGTGTTACATCAATTTATCACATGACTTTAGGCAAATCCTTCAGCTCTCCTGGCCTCTCTATCCTAGATATCAAATGAACACTTTCTGTTTTAGTTTTTTAAGTTAAGGTCTTGCTATGTAGCTCAAGCTGAGCTTTAGCTTGCTATGTGTAGTCTAGCTTGGCTTCAAATATATAATCGTCTTGCCTCCGTCTTCTGAGTACTGAGATTACAGGGATGTGCTACCATGCTCAGCCCAAATGGGCAGGTTTTTAAGGATCTTAGAAGCTCAAAATTTTTACCTTAAAAAGTCAAATAAATAAGTTAGAAGCCTGTGAGTCTTTGCATATTCAATTTCCTAGAATGAGCAACACTTTATCAATATGACAAATAACCATTTTTTCAAGATTTACTTCATGATACTACTGCCAAGTAGGTTTTTTCATGACTGTCACATCCAGAGAGAAGGGCCCCTTCTCCATGCTCATCTACATTACCATTTTTCATTTTTAGTACATTTCACACAGTACTTCCCTTGTATGTTTGCCCCACTAGACCGTGGACACCTGAGGGGAGGCACTGTGCCTTGTCATCTGCTTATTGGCAGATCTGGCTAGCTTCAGTTTATAGCTGATCTCTATGCCACATTATTCGTTAATTATTTTGGTTATCATTCATGAATATCATAGCCTTAGAAAAGCATATGACCTACAGTAAGATTTGGAGGTAAACAATTAAAACATTCTTGAAATGATGTATTAGATGATTACAGACCTTTATTGTCATTGATATCATTGAGGGCCAAGACTGTACTATGCCAAAAGCATGAGCAAATCAGTTCACGCTCCCATGGAAGGACTGGCAGATTGGTTGGCTGCATGAGAGAGAAAGCAGAAAAGGCATAAGGTTGGCACAAGTGGTCTTGGGTTCCATTTGGCTCTTTTACTTACAGGGTGAATTATCTTGATAAAACAAGTTTCTTCTCTGAAGCTAAGTTTAGTCTTTTACGAGTCTAGATTAGAAATCCATACCTTGCGAATCTCCCAGAATTGGTGTGAAAACCATGTAAGAGGGTGGAAGAGAAAGTTCTCTGAAAACCTATGTTCTAGAGCTAGAGCATTTAGAGCTTCTTGATGTTGAATGAGGTTTTCTTTCCCCAAAATACATCTCAATAGAAAGCTTACACTTTGGATAGTTATATTGTGCCTGTGAAATCATGAGTCCCAGCTTCTGTGTGAAACATTCCTGGAGCCTGCAGAGATTAGCTGAGCACAGAGAGGAGTTGAAGCCACCTGGCGCTGTCTTGGAGACTGACGTTTAGCTGGAGGCAGAAGAGACAGAGATGTTCCCTCCGGAAGGCTGGGGAGGCTGCTTTG